GATGGGATGGGATGGGATGGGATGGGATGGGATGGGATGGGATGGAATCAAAGCTAGCAGGGAACACTGCGCATTCTTACATAAATATTGTCTTCTGAAATTTGTGCTTCACTGATGTGTGTGTTTGTGTTCATATAATTGAATATATGCATGTTTGCTCATTAGGTCTTTTTGTAAAATTTATTTTCTACTGTGGGCCATACCCATGTTATTGTGCATACTTCTGAATGTTCAGTGTGACGACTGTCCCCAACCAGTGTTTCTGGTGGACTTTTAACACACAGCACTAACTGGGAAACACAAGGTCCCTCCAGAGCCTGACCCCACACTCCTACCACATAAGGGGCATGGTTGAGGACTCATCTGGGGAGCCAGGACATGGGAGATAAGACCTCAACTTCACCTCTGGCAAAAGAGTGGGATTCCAGGAAAGTCTCTGTTCGTGAGGAGAGCCAGTTTAGAATGAGAACAGAAAACATGACCACACAGTTCCTGTGGTTACCAGCCCTGCCCCTCCCTCGCCTGCTGTGAATAATAAATCCCAAGACTAGAAGATAAAACCGGCACCTGCCATGGGCTGCCTCCCTGAGAAGATGTGTCTTCTTTCCCTCCCTCTACTGCTCTTTCTGCTGTGTACCAGAACCAAAGCTGGTGAGTATAAAATCCCTCTCTCTGTAATCTGCAGGATGAGCTCCAAAAACAAAGATGTTTATTCTGAACATAGCTGGCTCTTAAACAGGGTCCCAGGATCTCTCCTCGAGAGTCCCAGAATAAAGTCTCCAGGTGGGATATGTACTGCCATTCTCTTCATACTTCTACTTCCCAAGAACAAGGAATCCTACATTCAGGGAAATCCCAGAGCGTGTAGGAGGAAGAGGGAAATCCCTAGGAAAATGGGCACTTTCTCTTCATATTCTGAGCTTCAGAGCTACAGATTGCTTTGTAATCTGTCCATTCTGTTGCTTCTGCGGTGCTACTCATGGGCTCAGAGAAGGTCAGGCAAGAACCTGGACAATGTGTCCTGTGTAGAGACAGGGAAAGACCTGGGCCTGGGGCAGGATGGGAGCAGGGGGATCCAAGGTGGAAGATGTCTAGACAACATTCAAGGTAGGTTTGGCTGTTTGCTCAGAGAAAGAAATGAGAATTTATGGGGGAAGGTGTTCATGGGAAAAGCTGGTGCAAGAGACCTGAAAGAGTGATGGGAGTGCCTAGGGCCATGATGAGATTCAAGGGACGCCTCTGTCAACCGCAACCGGACCGTGCTTTCTCTGGGCACCGCATCACTGTCTGTGCTCTCTCAAGGTCTTGGAACTGTCTGTTCTAGGGGAAGTCATCGGTGGCACTGAGTGCAAGCCACACTCTCGTCCCTACATGGCCTACCTAGAAATTGTCACTCCTGAGGGACACCGGGGTGCCTGTGGTGGTTTCCTGATACGACGGAGCTTTGTGCTAACGGCAGCTCAGTGTGCAGGAAGGTAAGACGGGCCTGTTTCTCTCCACATGGGAGATAGATGAACAGGCTGGCAACCTGGGCTATACATACAGTGGGTCCTGAAGAAGAGGTCCTGGTACTGGGTCAACTTTCAAGAGAAAGATTGGGGCTTAGATGAATTGATCTCATTGAATAGACACCTTGAGCCTCAGGTACTGTGGGCTCAGCTTCCCTATGGAGGAAAAAGAAGGCCATCCCAAGTTCCCCTCTGAAAGCTTCTCTCACCTCCACCCAACATAGAAAATACTTTTAAAGGTGCACCCATTCATCTCAGCCACTTCTTCCAAGCCCTTTTGAATAACACTAGCCTTTAATTCCCAGGGTTTAGGACCCATTCTTTTCATAGGAGGCAGAACAAGGTCCACAGGGGACCATCACTTCCCTGCTTTCTTCTACTATCTCTTGCTCCAATACCCAGCCCTCACATAGGGCTCCTGCAAATAGGAAGCACTAACCCTATCCCCTGGTTCCGCCATGACCTGCTCATTCTCCAGCAATCCCCAGGAGTCTTGTCCTGGAAATTGTGTCCTTTCCTCAGAAAGCTCTTCCCCGATTAAATCCTGAGTCCCACCCCCCCCCAAAAATAGAAGCAGCCCAGAAAGGGGAGATGGGTAGAGTCCAGTGCTCCAGGGAGGGATTCCAGCCTCTTTTCTCAGAATGCACATCACTCAGGAGAAATCTCTAGCCATCACTGTTTCTGTTTATCCTTCCTTCCTTAAAACAGGTCTGTAATAGTCAACTTAGGGGTCCATAACACAAAACAGAAAGAAGACACATGGCAGAGGCTTAAGGTGGTAAAGCAATTCCTGCATCCAAAGTACAATGACTCTACATTTCTCCACGACATCATGTTACTCAAGGTAACAACATCTTTCTTCTGTTCAATTTCCTGTGACTTTTTTTAGGACACCATTGCCCTGAAATCTCCCTGGTCTCCCTCTGCATGCTGCTCCTTCCCCACTCCTCCTTAGACTTGGCTCCAATGGGAAGTAATTTGCCCTTCCCACCCTGATTGCCTCTTCAAGATCTTGTTGAAGATGGGTGTATATGGTTTCCTTCCAGCCCATATCCTGCACCAACAGCCCCTTATTCCCTTCACAGTTGGAGAAGAAAGCCAACCTGACCCTGGCCGTGGGTACACTCCCCCTCCCACCCGAATTCAACTTCATTCCATCTGGAAGAATGTGCCGGGCAGCAGGCTGGGGGCAAACAAGTGTGGAGGAGCCTGCCTCAGACACTCTGCAGGAGGTGAAGCTGAGACTCCTGAACCCCCAAGCCTGCAGACCCTTCACAAACTTTAAGCACAAGCTCCAGCTGTGTGTGGGTAATCCCAGGAAGAGAAAATCTGTATTCAAGGTGATCCTCTAACCAGGTTCTCCACAAATCACTTTCCAGGGACCAGAATTCTTCTGGCAAGAGATGGAATCAGATGACTGTTGGCTAGTGACAAGTTTGGGGTCATGAGTGTGAGGAACCTGAAAGTGTGAGCATCCTCTCATTGCCCAGAACAGTCTCTGGGCATCCAACCCAGTCTATAGCACAGGGGTGACTGCCCCAGGAAAGGAAGGAGGAGCATCAGACCTAGATACACAATGGCATGAGGATCCAGGGCTCCTGGGTCTGAGTCAAGACCTGCTGACTCCAAGCTGGGACCTATGGGTGGGTTGGAGGATTTCCTAGCTCACCTCTTATCCTTGTTTCTCTCTCTCTCTCTCTCTCTCTCTCTCTCTCTCTCTCTCTCTCCCCCTCTCCCTCTCTCTTTTTCTCTCTCTCTCTCCCCCTCCTTCCCCTCACAGGGAGACTCTGGAGGCCCCCTCCTGTGTGCAGGGATAGCCCAGGGCATCGCATCCTATGCACAACGGAATGCAAAGCCCCCTGTTGTCTTCACCCGAATCTCCCATTACCGGCCCTGGATCAACAAGATCTTGAAGGGGAATTAACCTTGGAGCCTGAACCAGCCTGAAAGGAAATCTGGATCTGAGCAGGTTTTCTATACCACTTGCTCTGGCCTGTCTCTGGTTCCTATTGAAGTCCTGCCACATCCCTGAGACTGCAGAAGGTACCTACAGTTCACAGAACTTTTTAATAAAGCTCAATAAAAACCCAGATTCCAGATCTGAGTATGTGTCTCCTCTCTCTGTTGCTCTCTTCTCCCTCCACACAGCAAGACTGATTCCAAGCCCAAGTAACTGTGAGATTTGCAAAAATTTTTGTGCACATGAAGGTGTGTGCATGGGTGGGTGGGTGTGTGCTTGTGTGTGTGCATGTCATGTGAGCTTGCATGTGCATGTGTGTGCATGTGAGTGTGTGCATGTGTGTTTTGTGTGTGTGTGTGCATGTGTGGGTGTGGGTGTGGGTGGTATATGAGACAGTCAAAGATGAAGAGAGAAATAGACATGGACACAGAAACTAACATAGAGAGGAAATACTGACAAGGTAAAGAAAGAGAAAGAGTTGCCTTGAAAAGGCAAGAATCAGCTTAAACAAGAAATTATACTAGCTCTTTCCTTCCCTTAATCATCAACCCTATGCCAACTCTACTTTGAATCTTTAATAAAAGAATCACTGAGAACATTTTGCATCACAAACAAAATATGAGATCTTTAGAGTGACCCTATCCTCCCCCTATTAGAAGCCAGTAACAACACCCTTCTTCCCACAGCACCCAGTTATGACAAGCAAAATATCTCTCAGCATTGATAATGACCCCAGAGGTTGAGGGAAGACTTATCCTCTGTTGAGGATTACTGGTTTAGATTGATGATATAAAAGAAAGCAGTTGGTGCCACACGAAGCATTACCTCACCTCGATAAGGGAAGATCTACCCGCCGGGGAGCTTTAATATGAGATGCAGCAGAGATTGCCTCGCATTAATTTCAGCTAAACAGATACTGGGAGCTGATGCGAGGAGCATCACAAGGTCTGCTTGAGCAACACAAAGGTCTCTGCCTATACCAGAGGGAAGTCCAAAGCCTAGAACCTGCTCAGCACAACACTTGCCAGCAGAAGGACTGGCTGGAGGGGACAAAGCAGGGCAGGACAAGGACACACTTCTAGAGCCTGAGGCCAACAATACCCACAACTTCTGAGGGCATGGTAAATCTTTCTCACTAAATGAATTAGTCTAGGAATTCATCTTTGAGAAATAACAGGGACATGTATGGAGATTAATGTTGAAAAATTTTCATCTCACCATTTTTAATTGCCAAAAAGAAAGCTGGAATGCCAGCCATGGAATAGAATTCAAGTGGTAAATTAATATAATTCAATATTTTGAACTCATTAAATTTTTATTTCAAAAGCATTTAATGGTGTGAAAAAGTTCAATATAATTTAATGCTTTTTAAAAAAATATTTTAAAATTCCCTGTATTAGAATATCAGTTTTTTTAATTTTTATGGGTGTATAAGAAAGACTAGAAGTAATTATATCAAAATAATTATGGCAGTTATGTCTATGGGGTAGAACTGACAGCTGTTTTAATTTTGTTTACACACTCGCTTCCAAGCCTCATGTGTTCTAACTATGGGGACTCAACACCATATATTGATCCACTAGTGGATAACCATATACACCCATCTTCAGTCTCCCATTGGTCAAGGTTTGCTCCATGGGGAGTAGTAAGCGTCCTTACACTAAGGAGTCAGATTACTGCGCCCATCCACAAAGTTACTAGAGAAGCTGAGCCTCCACAATTTCCCTTGGACCAATGCAAAGGTATGGTGATCTTTCCTATCAAGTGACACCATGCATGGAGATTCTCTGATTTTTAGCAAAGATGATGATGGCCAGGGATTTATGATCATGGGAAGTAAAGCTGATGGAGTTGATTAAAGCTCATGGATAAAACTGTCCATATTCAGTTCTCCCTGTGCCACCCAAATCTATTTGCACCTTCTTAGAGTTTCCGGATCTTGCCTCAAAACATGTCCATCCTAATTTCCTAATAGGAAAGTGGCAAATCCAAACCTTCAAAGTAGTAGCAATCATAGTCTCCTGAAAAGATTTCAAAGAATGGCAAACCAAGCTACAGTCTCCACTGCTGAAACTGGTCTAAGTCCTAACTGATATTTCCCATCTCATTTCCTTTACTCAGAATGGATGCCCCCTGCAACTTTAGTTAGTGCTATGTAACTGATAGAGCAACCAGGTCTCCAGCCGTAGGGCACTGAGCCTTTAGTTGCCTTGCATTTGTTGTAAGTGTCCACTTACTGTACAGTTATCAGTGAACACAAAAGCACAAAGGATGACCCAGAGAATCTCCTGAGTTCCAGTCATACTCATCTCCCATTGCAGAAACTCCAGCTTTTCACGGCAATCACAGCCAATTATTCCAGCCAGTATAGTAATTGTCTGCTTGCTGGGCCCTGATGTGAGGACCTCAAAATGGCTGCTGATGATTGCAACTTGCAGTTCACTCAATCCTTTACCACTTTCCCTGGGGAAAATATTTTATTCCTGGGAACTTGGACTTCTAATTTGGCAGAACTTGAGTCTGAGGAGACAGAATGTACACATTCCACAAGTAAGAAGTCCCACTGAGTGATAATTTAAAGGGTCAATTCTACCTCTACTTCTTGGTTCTTGGACTCATATTCTAGCTATGTGGGAACACTGAACTATGGATTAGTTATTGATTCAATGTATTTATGAGATCCTTGGGAATAGAACTCCAATCTCAAGGGTGTTGTTTCTAAGATGGGACCTTTACTGATCTTTCAACAGAAAAATACAACATTCCATTAGCCCAATTGCTTCTGTGTGATGTGGTATAGGACTGATGAACCCATTACTATACCTCCTTGTTCATAAAATTAGTCTGTTTTGAGGTACTACTGTGAAGTAGGTTGATGTGCTGGGCAATCTGCAAGCCCTCACATGGTGCGGCTGGCGGAGGAACTTCAGACAGAAAAAGGATAATTCATATCTAAAGTACGTATCAGTGCTAATGAGGATGAATGCCTATTTCCTCCAAAGTACAAGGAGCTGGGGCTGGGGATTTAGCTCAATGGCACAGCGCCTGCCTGGCAAGTGCAAGGTCATGAGTTTGATTCCTGGTACCAGAAAACAAAAACAAAAACAAAAAAAGTACAAGGAGCTAATAAAATCATAATATAATCCCTCACATCATAATATAATATAATCTCTCACAGAATAATCATAATATAATACAATCTCTCACAGAAATTATTCTTTTTACAAAACATAAGGAAATAGAAAAAACAGGTGAAAGAAAGATTGTTTTCTTGAAAATTTGCTTAAATGCTTAGCAGATGGTCTTATTCCCTGTATTCCTATACAGAACACATTCCTGGGGGACAAGAGAACCACAGAACATAACACCTTGCTGCCCAAGGCAGATGACCAGGAGGGAGGACATCCTTGGGGTCTTTCAGAGCCGTGTTTGGAGGAAGCCTCAAGGGAATGCTTTAAGGACACCCGGAGGCCAGTGGCTGCTCTACCCCTAGCATGAGCCCAGGGAGTCCAAGCAGGATATGGAGCCACACTAGCCTCTTCCACTGGTCTGCCCAGAAACAAAGTCAAACCTTCAGTACAAATTTCACTCAGAGATTTGGGGAAAGACATTGTTTCCTGCCAACATGCTGGATCTGATAAGCAGAGAGAAAATGGTTTAACATCTGCCGGAGAATCAGCCAAGATAAAAGGGGCTTTCCCCTCTGTCATGGGAAAGGACCTGCTCAGCACAAACACCAGGCAATTACAACCCAAAACAGCCCAGCTTTCTTCCATTCTGCAGAAAAGAGTGAGATAGAAATACAGAGTATAGGGATTTCTTGGTCTCTCAGTGTACCCCGGGGAGGAACAGTGGTGGGAACGAAGAAAAGATAGACAAGAGACAAGAGCTGGGTCAAGTGGAGGCCTCTTTACCTGATGGGCAAAAGGGCCTGAACAACAACAATAGGGGCATTTATTTATATCTTTGCAAAGTTAGTATCAAAAGACAAAAGGTTGCCTAGTGACTAACGACTGAAATTGTCTAGGCTGGATGCTTTTCTCAAGACTGAGGTAGTTTGACTGTTTTAGGCACTGTGGCCTTGTCTTGCCTCCACACATATAATCCATTTCCAGCTCCAGCAGCTCCCAACAACCAACAACAGAGGCCAAATAAGGACATACACACACCAGGCCAAATTTAAGGTTTTACCAAAGACAGAGAGCTGTCCCTCTTTCCATGCCATCATTCTTCTAACTACTTAGTACCACCACTTGGCAGTGAGAATGAGTATATTGGAGAAATTAAATTTCCTTAAAAGTTATACATCATCCCACAGTGACTATACAGTAAATGATAACCAAAAAATTGAAAAAGAATAGAGACTCACTGTTGTAGTTGGGGGTTTCGCAAGGGGAACAATACAATACAGGACATATTTTATAAGATTATTTTATAATAGTCACCCAAAGAATCATATACAAGAGAGTGTAGGAAATCTGTCCACACACTAAAGACCAAAGAGTCCAGCTGAGGGCCTGGATCCCATGGTAATGTCCTGCATGAGTTCAGCTGAAGACCTAGAGCTCACAGCAGTGCCTCCCATGAGTCCAGCTGGAGGCCAAGAGCCCACAACAATGTCTCATGCAGGCCTGTTGCACAGATCTGTGCTGGGAAAGCCCAAAGACCAGTGGCGGAAGCTAAAATGTCTGTGCCACTGGGATGAAGGATTTGTGCTAACAGGCTGAGGAACCTGAACTAGAGCCAGGAAGCAGCCCTCAAAGTAAGAACCAGAGCTCCCCCAAAAAGTGCCACAGCCATCATCAGCAATACTGAGGTCCCGAGCTCCTCCGATGATCAGGACAGCTGAGTTCCCATTAAGAAAGTCAACATGACAAACTTCTCCAGGAGACTGAGCAGGGCACCATCTTTCCCTTCAGAGCCAAGAAGCAATGCTCAAAGTGAGGACCAGAGAGCCCCCAAAGTGAACTGTAGCCATTCTCAGCAAACAACAAGATCCTGAGCTTCTTCGACAATGAGAACAGTTGAGTTTATCAGGAAAGCCAGCATGACAAGATCCTCCAGGAAAACCAGCAGCTCCCTACCACTTCCCAACAGCTTCACACAGTGCCCAACAGCTTCCTACAGGCTCTTCTCTTC